CCCCCTCAGGGATGGTCTGTTCAATAATGACAATTTTTTCGATAACTCAGCCATTTCTTGACAGATTGCTTTCATCTTCGAACTCGACTGAGATATTAATGAGATAATGCTATGTACAAAATTTCATGATAATCGGATCAGCCTTTCAGGAGTTATCGTGTAAACGGCCGGCCGGACACACTGGCCGATTCTATAGTGTACTCACTTTTTTTTTGAGTACACAAAAACGATGGTTTTTTCAGAACGCAGTTAAATGACTTTTATTAAGACGCGTTTTCAAATGAAAAAACCTGTTGAAAAATTAATCAACACAAAAAACGCCTTCTTTTCTTAAAATTTTGGGTTTAAACGCCAAAATAGCGTTGTTTTTTTAAAAACCTTTCGTTTAAACGCATATGTTCTCAAATCCGGTTTCGATTCCGGATCTAAGAAGCTGAAATTTTTTGGATCCGATTCAGTTTCGGTTCCAAAAAAAGTGGGATAGCAGGGCTCTGGATTTAAGTGTATATAATGACTGAATGTGACGATTTTGATGGAAGAGACACGCTTGATGGTGTTATTGAACTTTATTCGATTCTTCCTATCATCAATCGCATCGATTACATACAAAGCATACGCTTTTATACTATTCTTACATGGCATTTTAAGGGCATCATACAATATAAAGTGCAAAGCATGAAATAAGAAGTAGCTGTCTTATTCGAGTTCGAATATAAATGGAGAAAATAAAAAGTTAAACTAAAACTAAATTTAGGAATAGATTTAGTTTTAGTTTAACTTTCCGATATATGCGACATATGAATACATATATACCCTTCTCCCGCACCCACATTTGAGCAAGATATCAAAATATATTATTCTAATGAATTCTGATTATTAATTTAGTTCAAACATGAAAAGCGATTTAAAAAAAGACATATTTCTATATAATGACTTGAACTTAAAATAGAAAGAATAGTTTGACCATACCGTGCAAACCATTCTCTAATTTTCATAAGTCATCTCATTGCGCAATACTCTGTTTAACGAAAATTTGTTGATTGATAACGAAAACAAAATCGTGAATTTAATTTATCTGATCTGAAAAGGTATGAAGAGGATTTTTTATCTGTGGAATTTTACTTCAAATTTTACTTGACATATCTAACAGTATCATGCAAAATCCGTGGAAATAAAGATATATCAAATATCGTACTTGAAAAATTGTTACTCTAAAATAACAGACAATTTATAAAACCAATCATTTTCGGCAAGTTCATTTTTGTTTGTCTGCCATTGTTGAATTAATTATTGAATTGAATTTATCTTACTCACGTCAATGTATACTTAGTGAGCAATGATAAATTTCATAAAAACATTTGATTCCAAAATCACCATGAGAAGTTGTGTAACAACAATTATTTTTTTATATGCAATTATTACCGATAAAATTAAAATAATAATTATTTTAATCAAAGTAAATTCTTTTCTTTTTACCCTAAGAAAACAAATTTTTATTTTGTACCATTGTTGACTTTTTTTCTTGAATTACAAAAGATTTTGAGAATAATATATAGCAGAGTGAATACTATCAAAACGACATGGAAGACGCGAAAAATAATATGCCCTTGTGTACTTTGAACATCAGACCATGACGAATCATGAAAATCGATAGTTAGCGACGAAGAAAAATAATCAAATTCGTTGATTGATACGTATTCTGTTAATGCTTAAAGAAATGTTTCGAAGAATAAGTAGTAATATATGATAGTATAATGGACTGTCGACTTGAAACTGAAGTGTCTATGGGATAAAAAAAAACAAGTTGAACACTAATTGGACGAATCATAGGTAATTTTTTTATACCTCATTAATAGTGAAGAAATTAATGAAGAGAAAACTAGTTAAACACTTCATAGTTATGTTTAGATTATAACTTTTGTATCATCTATGATCTTGATAAGAATCTGTAATGATACTGTTTGTTATTGTCATCTACTTGATTATTCATCTTGTTTTTCGACGATTGTAAAAACTACCGATTACAATTTGTGTACGTCGTTTCATCTATAGTGGAGAATTAACATAATTCAATGTTTCGTTCCTTATTTTAATAAAATTTCCAAGAAAAACCATTCACTTGAGCGTGTATTCATGTTAATGATGAGGATGAAAAATTGCTGTTAACTGAATGGTTGTATTCTTTTTTGAAAACTTTTACTTCAGTTAGATTTGAATTGTTTTATTTTTAGTTGATATGATCATTGTTGAAAATGGTTTTCTTAATACAAAATGAATTTAGTATTACTATGATCGACCATTAGCACATTTCCTCATTTTCAACGTAGAATAATTATCCTTGTAAACTTTTCATTTTAAAATTTTACAGAGTACTGTTGAACTAATAAATGTATTGTCATTATTCTTATTAATATTTTCTTTTCTTTTCTTTTCAAAATCACTCATTAAGAGAAGAGAAGGGAATGATTCGTTTCAGATGATTCACATCGAATGAAATGATGGCAGTTCTATTCACTGATTAAAGCTATAGTTTTGTTATTTGTCTTTTTTTCAAAATGTAACCGTGAAAGTTTCAAGTGAATGTATTCACATGTACAGTTTCAAAGTGGACTAGCTCGTTTTATTTGCGAGCGACCACTTGAGAAAAATCTATGTTGACGACAGGGCACAACATTGGTTGTTCAATAGCTTGCTGTTTTTTTTACTTTTAAATGTCTAATTGTATTGATGTAATGGCCAGCGAAAGAGAATAGAAGTGGAGAATAATTGTTGTCTCGGTAACTCCTCCTTCTCTTACTACAAAGGAAAAAAAGAAGAAAGGCGTTTGCGGTAAGGTGTATTATTCTAGTAAAAAACGAGAACACAGAAAAAATAGTGTTTTTGTAATGTGCGAATCGATCAATACAACAGCTAGAAGTGAAGGAGGCTTAAATTCGCAACTATCATTTTATGAATATCCACCACATAAACCATTTACTAATTCAATACATCAACCATTAAGACCATCACATAATCTATCTAGAACAGTTACTTTACCTGAATCTAATCGTGATCAATTATTATCGTCACTGCAATCATTATCATTAAAAATAAAAACTCTTGAAAATGAACGAGAAGTTAGTGGAAAGAATAAAATTTTTTTCTGTTATTTCAGTTTCTGTTAATATTTAGCAAGCTGAATTGAGTCTACATGAAATAACAAGTGGCCTCTCTCAAACATCAAGTTGTCGTCGAGATCGGGATCCACTTAAAAATATCGATGAACAACTAATACAAGCAGAAGAGAATTTTCGTCGTCTTCAAAATCAACATAAACGAGTTCTTCAAGTATTCAATGGGCCTCAATCTTCAAAACCTCGAATGAAACGAAAAAAGAAACGATCACCTTACGACAATCACAGCTTTGATTCACCGACAAATGCTGAAGGAAGACATTATCATTTAGACATGAATCATGTTCCTTTTATACTTGGACAATCAACATCACCAAGTCATAATGTTAAATCAAATGTACAAAATGTAAGAGAAGAGAAATTCATAAAAGACATGAAAATGAAAAAACAAAATTCCATTCTTTTGTACTATTTAGGTTATTGCTTTATTAAAAAATCATAATCATCAATTATGTTTATCATCAAAAGAATATGCGAATCTTGTTCATCCTCGTCGTAAAAGTGAATTATCTCCACATGCACTTCTTTATCTCGATAGTTATAACAAACAATCGAATCGACCTTCATCTGCTTCACCAATCCGTTCAACTCGTCGTCCGATAGCAATTTCTACAACACGTCGTCCACAAACAGCGTCTACTATAGATAATCAATCTTTTTCACATATAAAACGTCTACGTCGAGAATATGTTATACTTTCTCGTGAACATGCAAGATTATATTCATCGAAAACAAATTTAGATGATTTAGAAATCTTAACTCGAAGAATGGAAAATATTTTAGAAGAATTAGAACAATTACAACGGCAACATATGTTCTCATCTCAAAATCATTCAGAACAAGATCTTAATGAAACGCCAATAGAAACTTTGAAGCGAACAAGATTACTTCAACTTATTCTCAAAGACCCTATTACTAAGCAACAAAAACATTAAAATATGATGATTTTATCGTGACGATAGATTAGTATTTCGATATGAAAAGATTATTTAAATAAGAATTCTCTCGTTTAAAAAAAAATTAAGAATGAACATAAAGCTTCGTCTAGTAAATAAAAGTAAAGAAACTTGAAATTTATTATTGACATAATATATTCAGACAAGACTTAATGATCAACAGCAATTGAAATGTAAGATGATTTCTTTAAACACTAAAGAATCCTTCACTGAATTATACCCCTTTTGAAAAACAAACAATTTTTTTTATGTCACGTTTTTAAAGTATCATAGCTGAGAAGAAATCTTACATTCGCTCATCTAATGTGAAAATCAATTAAATTATTTATATGATTGATAGTCAACTGTATCGAAAATGTTTCATATCTTTTCAGCTAATTCATGAAATTGTTGCATCAATTAATTGATTTATTCTGTGTGGCCTTGAAGATGTCCTCAGTTTTTATTTAGACACATTAAACAATCAAAAAAAGGAATAATAATAACATAACAAAAATTGGAATGTGTAAGGATTCAGTTGAATATGTGTATTTGTTAACGTATCTAGTTCAATACATCTCAATTTGTTCTTGCAACTCATACAAAACAAAACCACAAGCCAAACCCTAGATAATGAATTAAAAATTTTCTTTGCGAAAAATTCTGGCAAATTAGAAATCATAAAAATTGTTTGAATAAATAAACTCAATGGATCAAACAACAATATTCAATTAATCTACTTAAAATTAAAAAAAACGTTGCTATAGGTAAAACATACCACAAAAAAGAGAGCTTATAAGTCAAATTCCTGCCAAATAAAGATATGGAAACCAATATGATTAACTAATCATATGAATATTGTTATATTCTTTTGTCTTTTTGAATGCAATATTTCACCATGTTTTTTACTTAATCCTATGTTAATTTAATAATGAATTGCGTAGTTTATTTATGAGAAAAGATATTGTTGCTATAGGATCTTCGACCGTCGATCAACAGTATTAGTCACAGTCTGTTCGAGACAAGGGTAAAGTTACTAAGAATTCTTTTGAATTGTGTTTGACAACGAGGACTTGAGCTTTGCCTAGAAAAATGCTAAGAGTATCTTCAATACTTCAGCAAAAGTAGTTAAGTAATGAAGTTCGAACTTCTTTGTACTTCGTTTCGATTTTCAATTTCTTTTAATTTTCTTTATAATCAATATACAACCGACTAATTAAATTAATTAATTAATCCGAGACTTTTGTTTAGAAATGTTTTCACAAGCTCTTCTTTCATTTTTGTGCAAAAGAATTCAAATTTCTATTTATCAATTACCTAACTATTTGAAGGTATGAAAATTAAATCATAACCCATGGGATAAAAAATTAAGATATATTCACTGCGAAACGCGTTAATGCTGACTAGAGATGCACCAGTATCAGTATTTCTAGTTTGTCAGAGTCATCGGTGTCAATACGCACCAGTATTGGAGGTGTTAGTTAGTGGAACTCTCAATACTGGTGTGTGTTGACACCGATGATCCTGGCAAACTAGAAATACTGGTACTCATACAATCAGTAATACTGGTACTGGTGCATCCCTAATGCTGGCCGATTTATCGTGTTTCGCAGAGTTTTCTATGGTAGCACAGGCGTAAAAACAATTTTCCCATTTACTCAAAACGCGTTTGGGAGCCACTATTTCAGAATGAAAACGAAAAGTATATTATCTCGCAGCGTTTTTAATCGATTCAGCAGCTGTGGAATGCATTAAACCGGCCAGCATTAACGCGTTTTGCAGCATTGAAAAGTAACGAAACTTTTCCCATGGGAAGCATAATATCGTTCTTTATTTGCATGAATGAGTGATGAAAGTCTTATATCTTCTAAATAACTAATTCAATAGCCGAACAATAATTTGTTATTACGGAATCTTTCTTAACCTCATTTTAGTCTGAACGTATTCTATTCATTTAAGTTCAAAATTCCTAAAATTTAGATTAAAATAAATCAACTTTGCATCAATACAAGTTTAATCACAAAAGTATTGACGTGACGTGTCAGAATCGACGAACTATTGAGCTCCGCTTTCTAGACACGTCAGTGATTGATTATGTCAGCTATCTAATAGCAATGGCCTATCATATCTATTATATAAATATGAAACTTCGTTAAAAATAATTTCATATTTATTGGGTATTAGATAAAAATGATTCAATATCGAATATAACAATTATCTAACATATTGTTAACAGACTCACGACGCTCTTACTTCTACCAATAAAGACTTCTATTGATTATTCAGAAAAACAGTGTTAACTAGATTAGATATTTTCCTACTTAATTATATTACCTGAAATAGTATTTTTAATGTAAATACGAAATAGAGTTTATCTAAGTAAAATATCATAATAAAGAACTGCTTGAAAAAAAGCAGAGCTATATGCTATGTAAAGTTGATCAACTTCGAATAGAAGTACTGATATGAACATTCAAGAATAAAATACGTAAGGTTCTAGAGAAAAAGAACGTGATACTTCGTTATGTCAGCATCATACCATTTACATATCTTTTTGCGTCAACAATTAACGGGTGTTCCATAAAGAATGGCCACCTTTTGTTTTCTGTCTTTGAGGCACTTGATAATCGTCTTAAGATCTGATTCTGAGCTTGTTGGATAAAGAATTCGTTTCTCTACAAAACTATCCACTTCGTTTTTCAAATACGTTTTTCTTGTCANCAGTTGGATGATTTAGTAGGTGTTGATCTTTTAAATCTTACACTGACAAGAAAAACGTATTTGAAAAACGAAGTGGATAGTTTTGTAGAGAAACGAATTCTTTATCCAACAAGCTCAGAATCAGATCTTAAGACGATTATCAAGTGCCTCAAAGGCGGAAAACAAAAGGTGGCCATTCTTTATGGAACATCCGTTAATTTATACGTAAGTTTATTTTCATTATTATTTCTTCTTCGTTAAATTCTATCTTTACCTTCTATTAACTTTTCAAGACTGAATTTCACACATTTTAAAAGATTCATTTTGTCGTAATTCATGATCTGTGATGACTCTAGAATGTTTGTTTTGTAGTAAAATCTTTCATGATTAATTATAGCATAGATTTTTTGTACAGTTTTATGTACAGATCTTTTTTGTCAAAATGTATAGGTAAAAGAAGCATTTAGTAATAGTTATCAATACGCTACTAAGGTTTCTGCTGTTTTCTACAACATTTTCACCAAAGAAGCAGATTAAACCGAACTAGACTTGACCACATGTATTGGATTATTCTCTCGTGTTTATAGTAAAAAGATCTATACTTTATTAAATTAGAATTCAACTACTTTAGAACGCTGCCGGTAGTATTCCTATAAAATAAAAGAGCACGTAGTGATTCAACTCTACAATAAGCAAACAAGTTAATTTCATAAGCACGCATATATCGAGTTAGAAGTAAATATTTATGTTAAAAAGCACTTAAACTAAAAATTCACGTGGAACCAACCTAACAAACAAGCCTTATCTACTTTTCAAAGTATAATATGATGTTAACTATTTTTTATCAGATGAGCAAAGAAATTATGTACTTGTTCACAATCATATTTATTTTTGTGCTGAGTTACTGCTTGAGAAGCTTCATATAAGAAAACTCTTAGGAGTAAAATATTTGCGCAAGGTAAAATATGGAAGAATGGATTCTTGCTTGACTCACTTGAGACGAACTATTTTCGCATGTTTGCCTTCACAAAGAACAGAAAAGAAAGAGCAAAAAATTATATTGGTCGCATATTTAAACAGAACATCTCAAGCGTAGTGTGGTTGTTTTATAATACTCGGTGAAATTTCTTTTTTTTTTTGGGGGGGGGGGGGGGGGTTTTAACTTGAAACAGTAATTCATTTTTTATTAATTTTAGGTCAGCACCTTTTATTCAAACACACAACATGTATCTGTTTTCTAAAACGATATATGCACAATCATCTTTTATTTGTAACTTACGTAGTATTAAGTTCGATAACCACATCAACCAATATTTTGTTTTCTTTTAGAAATGCAACTACGATACCGTAGATGGTCTTCGTCGAAAATCAGGAGTTAAGTTTACGAATTAAAAGCATTTTAAGATTGGAATAAATCTTATTTTAGGATGTTCTCTCGTTTTTGGTCTAAAAGGTAAAATAAATATTTTTATATTTGATATTTGAATCATTATTCAATTTTTTATTCATACAGCTGAGAAAAGCCAGCGTTTTTTCCGCGTTGCGCTTTTTCGCGCTCTTTATAATCTCGATGATATTCTTTTTGAACATAAAACCCAAAGTAAATAAATTCTTCTTATGAATACAATTTTAATCTATTTTGAATATATTTTCAGAGATTTTCCTACATTAAAACCTTGGTTTGCGTTATCTAAAATTTTTTTTCAGTAAGTGACATTTTTCTTTCTTTTTAAGCCGAGAAAACAATTCCTCTTTTACAAGCAGAGCATCAACCCATTCATTATTGCCTACCTTAAAACAGAATGAAGTATTCAAGCGTTTTTATACGTCACTATTGGATCATAATTTAAATCTGTTAATGTCGTTGTTGTTGTTTGTTTTTCATATAATTTATTTAATAAAAATAAACTAAGATGATAACGACATCAGATTGATATGAATATGAATTTGAATAATCAAGATATGTTTCAATCAATCTATATATCAACCTTTATAGAAGTAGGAAGTTTTATATCAAAGCTAACTTGCTGAAAAGAACCTACATTCATATAGATATCGATGTTATGGATTTTTCCATAGTATATTCATGAGACACACTCAATGCAAAATACTTTAGTTCAACAAAATAGTCAGTTGTAAGAAAACACTAAAAGAATGTTGTTTACATGAAAAATACGATTCAATGAATTATCGATAAGGTTTTTGTGTAATATTGTTGAAAGATTATGAGTTATGCTGAATAAAATGCGCTTTCTCTTTCTATACATTGAGTAACACAAAAATGAACCGTAAGATCACTTCTAAATATTGAAGCAATTACTTCTTAATTTTAACGGAATGATTTTGATTAATAGAAGTAAAGATATCAAGAGATTCTGAAAACAAATGTATTCACATTTACCTGAAAACCTGTTCCAAAGCTCTAATTTGTTTGTTAACGTACAATCCAATAAGTTTTCTCAAACAATATGGTTAGATTTGTAATAGTACGATCTAAGAGCTACGTTAGAAAATATTTCAATATATAATTTATTTTTATACTATCGTATCAGTTTGAGTAGGCAACGAATCTCTGTCTGCTTCATTGGGATATTTACGGTCAATTTCAGAACTAGCATTGTGACTTTTTATGAGACTATCATGAGAATTATGACAGACAAGATCAGATCATTCGTCACAGTTTGTCGAGTTACTTTCTTTGAATACGTGTATAGCCTGAACGTAAGTCATTTTGAACTGAATTTGTTTGTAATTTTAATAACGGAATGTCTTCATTAGATATGGCAATCAAAAAACATTCCTTAAAATAAAAAATGATTGTTAAGACGACAATAGTACGATATCAAACCGTCGTTCTTCGATACGGATGAACTTTTTCATATTTTTAATATGATTTCAAAATTTCTGACGAGAAAGAGTTGTAAACTTTGATTATTTAACTTGATGAAATTTTGCTGTAATGAAATAATTCCATCGAATATTATTTTTAAATATATGAAGATACTTATAGCTACTGTATTTCTATTGTTCTCGTTGAAGAGAGAAGTATGTTGTTTTTCTCGGCTATTGATCAAATATACATATATAATTTGAATCTGTAAACATGATACACATTTAATATTGATAAGAATGTTCAAATAAAGCAATAAAATTCGTGAAGAAAAATATAAGTATTTCATACTTATATTTTATATTAAAATATTACAAAAAATATTGGTCAACACAGAGAAAAACAAAATATATTCCTTTTTCTGTAAACTATTAATTCATTAAATCGTTATTTTCAAATTCTTATTTCTTCACATATTTTTTAGTTAGACAATTTTCAATGACTTTCATTAAAGACGTGCATTTTCAGGTGCAACAGGTTCTCTTACAGGTAATGACGGTAGTGGTGATGGTTCGGTATGATATTTGGATGAAAGATTAGCAACTGCAGCTTCGTAAGATGGTGGTTGCTCTTCATGCATAACAGGCATTCTTGAAGATAATGGTGCATTATGTGTAGCGTAAACTGATCGAATATGAACAGCTGGCGAAGACTGTTGTTCATACGGATGTATTATTCTGTGACTAGGGGGAACTCTGATATGTGGTGTACGTTGTTGCTGCTGTCTCTTTAAACCGACACAACAACTCAAGCATATACCAAAGACAAATATGGACATGATAACCAGAGCGATGACAAGAGCTGATGGGATATAAAGTGCAGGTGTTGGAACATATGTTGTTGTTTGATAAGAAGTGCATTGTATGAAGTAATTCCCACACGGTTCATAGTCTATCAAGAAGAAAAACAGACACACACATATAAACGCTTTCTATTTTCGAATTAGTTTTACTTACATTCACAACACCAAACATAACCATAGCCACTACATGTTTTTTCTATATTTAAACAAATGACACATCTAAAAGATTAACTTTAATAATGATTTCTA